CTCACTCACTCACTCACTCACTCACTCACTCACTCACTCACTCACTCACTCACTCACTCACTCACTCACTCACTCACGCCAAAAAGGCGATCGGCTTACGATAAGTTCACTTGATGACCGTTTTCAGAACGTTTCCACTGCCTCCTCGTCCTATTTGCAACTGTTTAGAAGTTGGTCTGCAATGCGCACTTCGTGAGCTCACTGTGAGCTCTCCAATCGAACTCCTGACGGTTTTGCTGTATCGGCCTGTCTCGACGGCATAAAACAGTTATGATTTCTATTCAGACAGCGCCACTCTAAACCCTCTTCTTCCTTCGTCTGCCGCGTATGTTTTATTTTACCATTTTGGTTTTTTACTGAGCAAGGCTAACACAGAAGCGTGCTTTGTGCCGTGCGGGCTGTAAAAGAGGTGGGCGCAGCCCTCGCGGCATAGGCAGAGACTGCACGGGAGAAGGTGGAGGAAGAAACAAGTTTGTCAGCAACCTGGATCCTGGGTAGGTGCGTGTTGACGAAGAAACGTAAAAGATAACTTGTAAAAACATCCACCAGACAGTAAGGTAGCTGCAGCACTTTTGAAAGGAAAAAATCTGCACCTTCCGCCCCTTCTGCCTCCGCCTCCTCAAACCGCTTCATGAGCTGGTTACTTTCGCGTGCCGTGCCGAGGGGGAAAACCGTCGATTTTCGTGTGCATACTTTTTATTTTCGCAATCGACGCAGCGTCGTCGTCGGAGCGTGTTTTCAAACATCCCCCACCTCCTGGGCTCCACCACGTGGTGAGCCGGGCGCGGACGGGGTCGGGGGGCTCGGGGGCCCAGGGGGACGGTGAGTGGGGGGCTCGGGGGGACGGCGGGTGGGGGGCGCTCGCGGCTCCCGCCGTCGGCGCGCGCCTCCCGCCCCGCTGCGCTGCCGCTGCAGTCTCTGACGCGGAGGGTCCCCGTCTGGTCGGGCGAGCGCTGCAGCCCCCGCCGCCCCGGAGGAGAAGAAGGAAGAGGAGAAGGAGGAGGAGGAAGGAAGGAAGCGTCTGGCGGTCAGCGCGAGGACCCCGCTGCAAGGACGCGCCGGCCGGTGAGAGTGGGGGGCAGGGCGTTGGCCAGGGCATTGGCGCTCCGCCTGGCCTTGACTCGGGGCAAGGCGAGAGCGAGAGCGGCCCGACAGCTGTTTTGTTTTCTGTTCCACCCCGCCACGCCCCGCCACGCCCCGCCACGCCACAGCGAGGTGTGGAGCGCCGGGACCTGCCGCCGGAACTGCTTCGGTGAAAACACGTACATAGACCATTCCCAGAAAGTGCCAAAGAAAATGTAGGTACCGTCCTTGCGTCTGCCCTCGGTGCGCCTCGGCGTGTTGCGGAGCTCCGGGTTGGAAGACAATGCCACCCTTAAATGAATTTTACTGGGGGCACTGATATCTGATATCTGCCTGGCCTTTTGGGTGCGAGCCGCG